GGAGCGCTCTTTGCGAGCTTTCTAGGCTATAATCCATTCAAAATGCAGAACTTTTGTTTTTCGGCCACACACATACTTTGCAAAGTTTCAAGAATGACATCTGCATATTTATGTGGAATTCACTCTCGAAACAGCAGTGATTGACATAGTGATAATGGATGGGACAAAATTAAACTGAGTTGGTTGATACGCTTTTATTGTATAACTACTGGGCACCTGGGGTGGCCAACCATATTTCAGCAGGGGCCCATGCCACCCCTGGCCACCATGTAGACACGTTTTATCTGTTGTGGATAAAACAGACTACTGGTTTTCATATTAATGAATAGCTTCTTGGTCTTTTTAAACCATGTCTTGTACTGTGTGGGTGAACTGGCCAGTCTAGATGATCTCAGCTTTTAATTAGCTATGAGATGTTTCCTCAAGACCATTTCTGGCTGGATGTTGCATAGGTTTCTCCAACCTCTTGCTCCCTTGAGAGTGTGCAACCATGTGCTGCTAAAGATCAAGAAGGGGGCTGTATTCTTCATCAAAAAATATGTTCCCATGAGGCCTAATCTTTCCCAGCACTACTGTCACTTGACACCCACATCAATCTGTAAGATCATCTTTCAATCATCTTTGATGCAATCACACTTTTCAACTAATACTCTGAAATCTCATCTATCCATAATTAGGAGTATTTTTAAACCGTGACATAATCATGTCTGTCTATTTACGTACCAATGGAATGAAAGATACATTTTTATCTCACAGTGAAATTAAGCAAAACAGGTTGATTTAAAAGCTTCTAAATATTACCTCTATGTTTTAAAGGGATAGTCCATTCATAAATGAATATTCTGTCATCATTTACTCACCGTTGTGTTGTTCCAAAACTGTATGACTTTCTTTCTTCTGCAGAACATAAAAGGAGATATTTTGAAGAATGTTGGAAACAAAACAGTTTCAGTTCCTATTGACTTATATTGTATGGACAAATATCACAATGGAAGTCAATGGGAACCAAAACTATTCCTTAAAGTGTGACAAAATGAATACATAATGAATACATATTTTTATTTTGCTGATCAGGTGTAAATTAATATCAACAACCGTTGAATGTTCTAATACTGCAATTAAGTTGTTCCATCCATATGCAGTAGGCCATATTTAGCAAGTCCAGTAAAAATTGAGCAACTTACATTTTAGAGACTTGTTGCTTGTTTTCAGTTTTGTGCCGCCAAAAGAAATAGTTCCAGACACAGTCAAAGCAGCCGAGCATCACAGTAGCGGTCTGAATTAATCATTGCTTTTAACTAATCAGTTGAGTGAATGATTCAGTGATAAGGACAGACACTTATTTCTTTCCTTCATGAGTGAATGTGCATTTTGAACAAATAATGAAATGACTCACTCATAAACATCGCCACGTCACCACATACTGGTGCATCAATGTAACCTGGAAAATAAATCAAATACAAGAGTCTGGAACAAACACAAACAAGCGGAGTGATACAAACAGTGAAATGTCCCAGTGCTGCTAGACTGTGTAACACAATTGGAAATGAATGAAATCCTAGGAGTGGAACCAACTGTTGTATAATTACTAATGAAATATTAAACAATACTTTAACATCAAATTGTACAAAACATTGCTTCTCAAAAAAAAAAAAAAAAAAGTCTGGCAGCAACCCAACTACTGTACCTCTTCAGAGAAAACTTATAATGTTCCATTTACACAAAATGCATTTGTATGTATAAAACGCAAGATGCAGGGCAGTGAAATAGAAAAAAAAAAAAATTTTAGGAACACATTTTGTAACTACTTTTAACTTGAGAGCACCATTTTTTAGAATTACGTGTAATGCGTGAGATGCTGCAAAAGACGTGTGCAACTAAATTAAGACATGAGTTCGTATTTCGCAATTCTGAATTTATATCTCACAATTCTGATTTTTTTTTCGCAATTCCGAATTTATATCTTGCAATTGTGAGAATTTTGAGGCAAAAAGTCTGAAGTGTTAGATATAAACTCAGAACTGTGAGAAAAGAAGTCTGAATTGTGAGATGAGACACAATTACCTTCTTGTATTTATTTATTTTTATCCCATGCATGTCGTAAACAAGACTCCATAGTCTAGCGCACATTTAGCCTACATAGAAAAACAATGGAAAAACAGTATAATTCAAAAATTTATTTTTAATGGCTCCTCACACAGTTTCATACATTAGCAAAAAAATCAAATCAAATAAAAATACAATAGGCTATTGGTTTTTTCCAAAAGGCATAGCATATCAAATGAAATCACCTCAATGCACAAATTGAACAAAGTATTGGTCCAAGTTTTAGTTTGACATTTAACACGCATTTTACTTCAACTCATATGGGCTTTTTCACAAAACTGATTTTAGTTTTTTTGTGCCTGAGCACTCTTGGGGCATCATGATTGAGGCTAATAGAGCACACAACAGCCAATATCTGGATGCAGTCAGGTCCTCTGAACACAGCACTCCTTCCAGTAGGAGGCCGTTGACTGGGCGAAATGTCAAGACTTCTTTCAAAAGGAAAAGGGATGGGGGCCGATTAATAATTCATGGGGAGCGTTCGGTCGAACACAGTGCTGTGTGTGTTTAGCTGTCACTTCGGCAGGCAAGAGAGAGAAGGGGAGAGATACAACACTGTAGGAAAACACCGGAGATGATTTACCATCTGGACCTCATATCAGACAGCTTGACGTGTTCCTGGAGGACTCGACGTGGGGCAAACTCTTCATGTTAGCCCCCTCTTGAGAAATGGAATATTTAGTGCTAATTATGACATGCCGGGATGAGATTTGAACATCCAGAGCTTTGTTTGTTTGGAGAGGGCAGGGTTGGCACAGATTGGAGAGGCTCTCCTTCAGGGTTATGAGGCCAATATTGATCTGACAGCATCTCAAAGAGGAGATATATGGAAATACATTTCCTTGAGCATGCAGATCCAGCCAAGTAGCTTGAACTTTCTTTTACTAACTTGTTTACAATGACAGATTTTCATTGCTGAAGGTTGCAGTACTGCTGGTCGCAAGTAGGCGAACAGCCCCTTTAGTCTAACAAACTTAACAGCAAATGCCAAAGTCTGAGACTCAGGGCCCTATCATACACCCTGCGCAATGCGGCGCCAGGCACGACTCAAGTGTTTTTTGCTAGTTTCAGCTCAACGCAGCTATCATTTTCATGTCCTGCGCCACGTTGTTTAAAAAGCAAATGCATTTGTGTCCATTTGTGCGCCTATGGGGCGTGCTGGTCTGAAAACGTGGTGTGTTCAGGCTCGTTGCTATTTTGAGGCAACAGAAATAGACTGCACCATTGACCAACTGAAACCTGGTCTAAAGTCAATGGCACAATATTTTTTTTTTGTTATTTAAAGAGCGCATTTGTAATATGCGCCTATAGGTGGGTGAACAACGTGCATACACTCTGCGCACAAACATGCCAAATATTAAAAATGAAAGGATTACAATGTAAAAGATTATTATTGTGGCCCGTAGATGGTCTGCTCGTGCACTTTAACCTCACCCACGAGCAGAACCTTTCCTCTCTGGAGAAGTGTTCAGTCTTTGCTCTTGCAAATTCCGCCATGTAAATAGCGAATCCGCCATGGCGCGAGCGCAACTGGCCTTTAAAGGGGATGGGAGATGAGACTCTGATTGGTTTATTGCACGTTACGCCCAAAACACACCCATGACTCTTTTGGACCATGCGCCCGGCGCGCCGACCATTTTCCCCGTCGTTAAAATAGCAAAAGTGGATTTGGACATGTCCTGAGGGCACTTGCACCGTGAGCTTTAGACCATGCACTTAGATTGTTAAAATATGGCCCTCAGGCTCAGCCAAATAAGCTCAAAAATAGAAACACAGACACTTTCTGATTAAACACTAAAATTCAAATTACATTTTTAAAAATATATTCAAATAGAAAACTGTTCTTTGAAATTTTAATAATATTTCACAAGATTACGGTTTTTACTGAATTTTTGATCAAATGAATGCAGCCTTGGTGAGCGTAAGAGACTTCTTTTAAAAACATAAAAAAATCCTAATTGTTATAAACTTTTGACCGATTGTATATAATTCAGAAATGTTACGTAATTACAGTTGTTTAATTCTAATTATCATGAACGAATGAGCTACATGAAATGTTCATCAAGTGTAAAATAATGGTGAGCCTATTCAGTTCTCAGTGTTTTTTTTTCTTCAATTTTGCTTTTGCAAGAAAATCCATATTGTTAAATAAAGTATTAATAATAAATGCATAAAAATTAGCAAGTTGATCAATACTAATTTCCATTTGACAAATGTATATTTCTCACCATTGATTTTGAAAACGTTCTCATTATAAAACAGAACTCGGTGGCGTTCAATTCGTACAGTTTTGTTACAAAATTTAATTATTAAATTAAAATGTGGGAGCATATAAATAAATTACACTTTCAAGTTGCAATATTTGAAGCTTGTGGCAGGTGGAACCTGAACAAATCAATACCCAATACACACACACCCTTTGCCACAAAACATACAGTTTAAAAGATTAATAATTTCTGTGCCACCAAATGGAAAGGGTGTGGGATTATTTCAACATCGAAAAAAATTACACTTCGCCTTCAAACTAGGACTTAAAACGCATTCTCTATATTCAGATCTTGACATTTGCTTACACACTCTCCTATAAAATGAGACTACATATGTACACTCAAACATTTCAAACATTGAGACAGTGTTGGCATAGTCAATGAGATCACAGGTCATGTTTAAATTACTCAGAATAACAGTAGGAAGTTTATTACCGTTATGAAGGGCATGTAAACTTGAGAATCTCTTCAAATAAAACTGTACGGAGAAGTTTGCAGAAAACTTCAAGCATAACAAATCCAGTATTAGGCAGCAAAGATAAAGGTTTTAACTCAGTTGTTTAATTTAGTTATTCTGATACACCGATTTTCCAAGGATTTACATTAAATAACAAAGGAAAGGGCAAGTCCGGTTTTAAATTCGAGGGTATATTGACAAAGTTTATAGTTTATGTATAGGTCCACACAAACGTCAAATAACGCTGGACGATTCGTCAAAGGCTGGATAACTTTCATTGGTATGTTTCACTGAAGGCTTCCCAAATAAACCTGAAGCATTTATCCAGGCGCATTAAAGTACAAAGTGAGGCATCCAAATGTGTTTTAGTAAAATATGCATCTGAGGCATCTGTTCCCACTGTCTCTCAGATGTCCGTTAGCCGAGTCTGACTGACCACAATCCATTAAAGAAGCACTGAAAGCATGAGTGGTATCATGAGAACAAAGCTTGATGCGACTGATGAAATGCAGGTAGGCACAAATCCTCCGCCGGTGGATTATTTTGGTGAACAAAACAGTCCCTTCAGTGTATGGTGGGTATGTCTCCAATCCAAGCTCCAGGTAACGGTCTGGGACATGTGTATTCATTCTGCAGAGAACAAACAAGACGTAAGATGAATACTACAGTGCAAAACCATGAGGCTCAGCTTTGTACTGATGCAGGGGTCAATGACATTAGGCTCTCTCTTTTTTGTAGGGATATATTAATTTATTAAAAAATACATTTCATAAATGCAAGCCATACATATAACAACTTATAAAACTTTTCTATGAGAAACATGTTTTTAATTCCTGGATTAAAATCCATTGTAACATTTTTTGGGAGCAGAAAGTCTAAAATGTCAGGGTTTTCTGATAATAAAAAATAAAAACAGAATACAATTCTTGAAAAAGCCCATGCACAATATAATATTTGACATATGATGTGCAATATCAAGAGTAATATTGCCATATGTTACCTATAAGGCAATATATAATTTTCACATATGCACATTCTCTGGGTAGATGAAGTTCATAACAGTTTATAAAATCTCCATAGTAAAATGTGTATATGTACATATGTTAATAATATCTATATGATGATTCTTTTATATGGTATTACATGAAGCAACCATATATGCCAACAATTTCTATATTTTATTTATATATGCAAGTTTATTGAAACAACATATGTACAAAAATATCTGTATTTTACATGTTTTTGTCATGTTTTTTAATACACGTCTATTTTATATATTTACATAATATCAACATATATTGATGGGTTTAGGATGGATATACATGTATATACAAATACACGTATTTGTATGGGCTAGATATATGTTAATGAAATTGTTCCCATTTTTAATAGGTTTCATATATGTTTTACTTCACATGACAATTTATTTCATATATGAAAACTGAATTACATTTGCATATGGGAGAAAACCTTAAGTAGTCAACATAATCTTTATTATTATTATTATTATTATTAATATTTTTAACAAAACTGGTTCACTACTTAATATTTAACTTAATATTTGACATGGCATGACATGCAAAATAATAATAATTAGGGCTGTCATCGTTAACGCGTTAACGCATGCGATTCATTTTACAATTCTTAACTCGTTAAAATAATTTAACGCAATTAACGCAAAATTACTAAAGCACAATTTCTATTCTAACCGTTTAACTTAATTTTGCTTCTCTGCTTGCGATCAGATCATTTTAAGCCGCTAAACTCCGGGAAAGTTTTCAGTCCAATGATCCAGTAAGCGAATGCATTCAAACAATCTGTCCAAAATAGCGCTAATATAAAGGAAACCAGGCTGATTACATCAGATATTGCAGAGAGAACAGAGACTCGCGTTGCGTTTTAAGTGAATTATTCATTCCAGTGTTTCGCTTTAAAACACAAGCTCTGTCATATTCTGTGATTGTCTCTGAAGAGCACGAGCCCTCACATGTCACACGTGGTGTGTGAAGTACAGACTGAACGGATTGTCAACACACCCCACCGCTGTATGGCCAGATGAGACGCAAACTACGTTTTCTCGACTGGATAACCAGTCTCGCTAGTAAAGTTTTGATGGATGAAGACTGCAATCAAGGTAAAGACGATTGCGGTGGCATACAGGAGTCGTACAGTAAGCACGTGTGAGTCCGTTATAATAATGTGTGTATGAGTGCTCTTGACGCACTGATCGCACATTGTATTTATGCACAGGCACAGACATTTCCGTACATTCACG